GTATGTATGTATGTATGTATGTATGTATGTATGTATGTATGTATGTATGTATGTATGTATGTATGTATGTATGTATGTATGTATGTATGTATGTATGTATGTATGTATGTATGTATGTATGTATGTATGTATGTATGTATGTATGTATGTATGTATGTATGTATGTATGTATGTATGTATGTATGTATGTATGTATGTATGTATGTATGTATGTATGTATGTATGTATGTATGTATGTATGTATGTATGTATGTATGTATGTATGTATGTATGTATGTATGTATGTATGTATGTATGTATGTATGTATGTATGTATGTATGTATGTATGTATGTATGTATGTATGTATGTATGTATGTATGTATGTATGTATGTATGTATGTATGTATGTATGTATGTATGTATGTATGTATGTATGTATGTATGTATGTATGTATGTATGTATGTATGTATGTATGTATGTATGTATGTATGTATGTATGTATGTATGTATGTATGTATGTATGTATGTATGTATGTATGTATGTATGTATGTATGTATGTATGTATGTATGTATGTATGTATGTATGTATGTATGTATGTATGTATGTATGTATGTATGTATGTATGTATGTATGTATGTATGTATGTATGTATGTATGTATGTATGTATGTATGTATGTATGTATGTATGTATGTATGTGTATGTATGTATGTATGTATGTATGTATGTATGTATGTATGTATGTATGTATGTATGTATGTATGTATGTATGTATGTATGTATGTATGTATGTATGTATGTATGTATGTATGTATGTATGTATGTATGTATGTATGTATGTATGTATGTATGTATGTATGTATGTATGTATGTATGTATGTATGTATGTATGTATGTATGTATGTATGTATGTATGTATGTATGTATGTATGTATGTATGTATGTATGTATGTATGTGTATGTATGTATGTATGTATGTATGTATGTATGTATGTATGTATGTATGTATGTATGTATGTATGTATGTATGTATGTATGTATGTATGTATGTATGTATGTATGTATGTATGTATGTATGTATGTATGTATGTATGTATGTATGTATGTATGTATGTATGTATGTATGTATGTATGTATGTATGTATGTATGTATGTATGTATGTATGTATGTATGTATGTATGTATGTATGTATGTATGTATGTATGTATGTATGTATGTATGTATGTATGTATGTATGTATGTATGTATGTATGTATGTATGTATGTATGTATGTATGTATGTATGTATGTATGTATGTATGTATGTATGTATGTATGTATGTATGTATGTATGTATGTATGTATGTATGTATGTATGTATGTATGTATGTATGTATGTATGTATGTATGTATGTATGTATGTATGTATGTATGTATGTATGTATGTGTATGTATGTATGTATGTATGTATGTATGTATGTATGTATGTATGTATGTATGTATGTATGTATGTATGTATGTATGTATGTATGTATGTATGTATGTATGTATGTATGTATGTATGTATGTATGTATGTATGTATGTATGTATGTATGTATGTATGTATGTATGTATGTATGTATGTATGTATGTATGTATGTATGTATGTATGTATGTATGTATGTATGTATGTATGTGTGTCCGTCCGCAAAATGAAGTGAGTGAGAAGGAGCTCATGGAGTAAACAGCCGCTAGCAAATTGGGTAGCTCCTCGAGGTATCAATGTTTTGTAGCAGGATAATTGTGATAACACTCCTACGGCTTATATAAATCTGTAGCAATCCGTCATTCAATGGTGCTGCAGTGGAGCTGGAGGAAGGCATGAAGGAAGGATGGGGGGAAGGGAGGCGAAAATATTTGACAACGTCTCTCTTATCATGAATCTTTTGTTGATACGCAGCTCCCGAAGTGTTTGGTGTATGTGGAATGGGACCACCAGCGAGACTAACGTTAGCAGGAGAGGTCGGCGGTTGAAGGGGGACTAATCTGGGTACTTAAAAACTATTACAATAGACCATACACTACAACATCAACAACCCGATTCAAAATAGCATTACCTGCCGAATCGAGTCGGAGTCTCTTCTTGACTTCGACGTTGCACGCAGGTGTCCTTCATCCAATTCTCCCAAGCTTCCTTTGATGCCTTGCAAGTGGTTGCAGATTCATACGACGAGCTCGACATGCCTTGCTCTTAATCATGGACCAGACTGAGAGTTCCAGTGATTAAGATTAGGGGAGCAAGAAGGACCATTCTCGCGGCGACGAAGTCGGGCGGTTCGCAGCTCGCATCTGCCTCGAACGAGGTTGGCACTATCCTGCTAGCAACATCACGGCTTGTTCCCAAAGTGGGGGTTGGATCAAGGTTTCAATACGTTCACTAACACGCGCGTCCTTGCTGATCTTCACACATGAATCGGCAAAATTCAACGGCATCTCATCATTGGCCGCGACTCACACCCAATTCATTACTGATGCCGAGTTAGCCGTTCTTCAACAATCTTCCCTCGTGAGATGACACTCCCGATACTTCTGACTAGAATGTGATCGCTTTGGCTATTCAACACCGGCTCCACAGCGAATATTTTCTCGTCAGAAAAAACGATCGAGAGTTGCGTGTCGCCAGTGAAGCGCGCTAGTAACCTTCCAATTTTTCGGCCTCTCTGCTGTTTGCTGAACAGAATGAAGCGGCACTTCTGCATGTGATAGAGTTTGTAGTGCTGCTTCTCCTTAATGATGCGCCCCATCGATGACTTCGATAAATTCAGCGGCCTCGCCATCCTTCTGATGGAGCACCGTGGATTGCTAAGCAACATTTCGTTGATTCTATCCGTGAACACGCTGACCATTCTTCCTTGTTTGTGAATGAGTGTTCTTATTCTCCTGCATCGTTTGTTGGCCACCTTTACTGTGTTCACGGGAACACCAAGAAATTTAACAATGTCCTAAGATGCAGTCTCTTGCTCGCGCACGCGAATGATCGCAGGTCACCTTGGATCACCTCTCACCATCTCTATAAGGATAAAGGATAAAGCATTTGCCGTTGATCAATCCCTTTTTGGGATGCGGCACGCATTCTACTTCCATTTGTACATTCGTAGTGGCGTTTGAATGCGATGTGGCCTATACAATGACTTGCGGGGGCCAGCCGATGTACAAGTCAGTGTTTTTATCCTCCCAGACAAGTCTGGTACCAATTAACCGACCCCGGAGGGATGGAAGGCTTGGTTGGCCCGGGCGACTCACGACCCAGGATTTGATCCCCGGACCGCTCGCGTGGTAAGCGTGCCACTTGCCACTACACCACTTCCGCCCTATCTCAGAGATACTGACAGTTTTACCCCAATAACGATGCAGTTCACAAGAGAACCTACCTGCACAACTATTTAGTAGCGCCCGAAATGAAAATAATCGATATACCTTTTCCAATGAATTTTTGAAATTTGGCGCAAGTAATTTTGGGACACCCTGTATAAGCTCACCTTATTTCCAACGCGAAGTGTAGCGGACCCATTATTGGAAAGTGACTCATCAGATTCCTGGTCCTTGAACTGTCTCTGAGCCAGTTTATACAGGGGTGGCCAAAAAAAGAGACACTTTGCCCATGGCGCACATCATCGAACTTTTCGTCGCACAGGGAGCCGATGTTAATGAAAGTTTTACGGCGGAATATTCCTTAGGTGTTCCCCCGTAAACAGAAGCAGGCCCTCCTTCACTGCCCCCGCCGTCTTCAGAATATGACGTCATCTGCCGTCACCGTCGAGCTCAACGTAATCGCTCCGGCCTGAAGCTGCTACATAATTTCTTCAATGGATTAACTGTGAATAGCTTCCCAGAGACATTAGCTGTGACTGTGCAAGACCGCTTTTGACCAGCGTTTCAGGGACGTCGTAATGGTCTATGGTACCTCGACGACCTCGTTGAGCTCGTACCGTGAACCATGTTTCCGTGGGAAAATCTTCTGATGTCGTCGGTGTAGAAGGCTGTCATGTAAGTTTAGATAGATTAGAATGTGCTCTTTAATACTGAGTTGGGGGCAGTCGATTTGATTAGCAAAGTGTGATTAATGCTGTCTGAAATGTGGAGTGAAGTGTCTCTTTTTTTGGCCACCCCTGTATAATGGTAATCGAATCATGGCTTCCTGCTCTTTCACTTGTAGATAATTTATGCACAATAGATGTTTTCGTATATGTTCCCTTTATTCGTGTTTAAGAGATGTAGTTTTATGTTCGGCTTTTGTCTACGATTATTTCATATACATATTTATTCTGAGGCGGCATGAAACTAATGGTATGTTGCGCTTACAATATCCACACAACACGTTGAATACCGCGTATGCTTAGCCTTGCCAAATCATAACGTTAATCAGTAGGTTTCTCCAATTACTCCACGGCTCATAGGTCGATTAACATCCATCGCATCTACCAGGTATTCCGCTCTACCAGCTCCTTGTCCTTGGCAGTAGGGGAACAAGCCTAGTTACCCACTCGCTGCGGGCACGTGGACGTTCATCGTCATGGCAGTCTCACGTGCTCGCGAGAATTCTTCAGAGATATTGTGGGACAGTGGACTTCCGCGCTTTGTCGCGCCTCACGGAAATCATCAATGCAATCTCCTAGTCTTCCAGCCCGCAGGCACGACATTCAGAAGGAACTGCTTGAATTAAGCGTAAAACGCAATAACAGAAACCTTCGTCTTCTTGCTTTTTTGACGATTTTCTTTGCACGTCTAATCTACATTATCTTTTGAACGCAAAAAACACCTAACTTGTCGTGAAGCTTTTAGTCAAAGATGATACAACATTTTCCTGACCCTGCCACCAAGAACGTTAATTTTTCGGGCTTGCATTAAGGGAAGACCAGCGGTGCGGCTTCCCTTATGCATATATGACGAACTTCAGTGCTTCGCATTTATGTAGTGTGAGATGGAATAAAGAAGTTTTGTTGAGAAATTACAGCACTTCACGCATGGTTCAAAGTGATCAGACAAGAAGAAAACTTTCACGGCATGATGCACAGTCCCATTGCAGTGTCACATCTCTTTGAAGGACATTGTGAGCACGGCGTTCCTTTTTGTAGACTTCGTGATCTACTTGGTTTCCGCTGAAAAAAAGTAAGCGCAAAAGTACCTCTATGAGAACTGTGTTTAACATTCGTCTATATTGTACATACTGTATTGTACTTGTTTCCCATCTCAAAGCAAACAACTCTCATTAAATTGAATGGCTTATTGCCGAAACTATCCGAAGAAGGGCACTCTCTTCGTGGGAGGGAGAATGAATGAGTAAGCCATTTTGCGACTTGCGACCTGATCAAGGGAATGGAATGGGGGGAGGATATGAGTCGGTTTAATTCTCCCTAATTTTTCTCCCCACTCCTAGGCTTAGTGCTAGTCTCTTACCATTGGTCCTTTCGAATGTTCCCACCTCCTCCCCCTTCAACTCAAAGCCATGAGCGCCAGAAGAACACCGCGACGAAATGGGCGCTATCGCAAGATATTAGGACATTGTCCAGGACTACGCTCAAGAGGAGGCAGGACCTCAGAGAAAATGAAAACCACTCATGCTGCTAAAGCCTCTCCTACCTTACCCAAGGCCTGGCCCTTTGAACATCAGTATAGATGTTTGACGCGGTTGAAGCTATATCTTTGGACAATGTCCCACAAATGCATTTTCTTGTGAACTTTTTTTTATAAAATTCTAACTTTTTTCAAGGAGTATTGCCGCCACAATGCCCCCGTATCTTGCGACAGCGCCGACATCCGAACTCCAGCGTTTTTTGCTTGATCTAGCCAATATTTTTCTATACTCATGCTTATCCCTCGGAAAATGGAGACCCGAACTCAGTTTTCAAGCACACTGAGACTAACATGAAATCATTTTTGAAAACGTTGAACAAAAATGCTCGAATCTGGACCCGTTTTTGGCATGGTGGTGAATTCTCGGCGGAGACGAGTTTTTGTTTAAATTTTTAAGCGAAAGTGTGCTTACGCTGGTGAGACGGCATACATGAGTAGACGTCGCCGCACTTCCCAATGGCACATCCGACCTTATTCGTGGTTGACCACACAACCTATGCATCAATTAACATTGATATGCGGCTGATATCCAGCACCACCTTAATAAAATTAGGATTCAGAAAAAAAATATTGATGGGATCTCACCTGAGTCGCTCCAGCTACAGGGTATCTCTGTGTTTCTCTCTGAATGTTACTTCTTTAATTCCAATGCTACCGTCCTCCTTTATCGGTTTGAACCACGATCGCATAGCCTGAGCGATACATCTGCTTCACAGTGCTCAGTTATTTCAGCAGTCGAAAAACTTGGCGTTAACCAACTAACCCATTGAGCAGCTTTGTCGAAACTTTCCGCACTCTGAGGCTCCACCACAGCTACGTTCTCTCCCTGATCTTTCCTAGTGCCAGGATAGGACGGCAAAAGTGCACACGTTTCAGCGTAGATCATAGCATCAGCTTCCAGGTCGCAGTCGTACTCCTGTCCAAAATGAACTCACCGGAGAGTAATTCAAAAATTCGTAGGTGGAAGCGTCACCATCTTCTCCATGTTAGCAGCCTTGGGGAAAAATTTGCCGTTGAACTTCTCAACTTTTCCCAGAGCCATATTGGACCTAAATGAAGGAGAACTCCCTGAATGGCAGGGGATTAGCTCTTTTTATGAATTTGCACACAGACCTACGATAATTGTGCATTTTGAGGAACTTCTCTCTTCAAGCTGTCTGTCATTCCTGTGTTGTTGGAGCACTGATTGTTTGCACCTTAATAGAAGACAAATAAAAGCCCGGTTCATTTTTAGCCTTTAGAGGCGAAGTTACCTGCAGGAAAACGTTCGCAAAAAGGAATTGAGCCAGGGGGGTGCAGAGTGTTTCAGTAACGTTGCACGTTGACCGGGGATACGTTGTGCATTCTTCGATCTGACTTACAAGGTGTGCCTGCTCGGTATATTAACTGGCCATTCTTAAGCTCACTGCAAACCGATACCGTCAATTTCTCGTATATCACTGCTTGACGTCATTCTTTCAGTGAAGTTCCTTGACTATCGTTATGACAGTAGCTGATCAGATTCTAACCAGGATATGCTTTGAACTTCTGTGAAAGGAAATCTGGATATATCGATAGAGTCTTAAACGCTGATTACAAATATGGATACTAATGCTGCTACGTGAAATTCCTAAGAAGGTAATAAGCCTCGAAAACTCGGCAAAGCCGTTACTGAGGCGAGCTCACCCAATGGAATCACAGGGCGCCGTGGCTCGGCGCTAAAAACGGGTCTCATATTCGTATCAGGGCATCCATTTACTCTCATAAAACAAGTTCCAGCAAAGAAAACAACCGTGTTCCACATAACCTTCCCTCACCAAGGCGAGAAAGTGCAGGGGAGAACAAACAGCCCAAAGTGCACCAAATTGTGTCGTGACTTGTCGGTGGTTCGGTCACGACACAAGGGGGACTCCCCACCCCACCTCCCGTCCTCCCTACCCGACCCCGTGCTTCGAGTGAATGACCCGGCAACCGAACCGAATAGTTGTGAAAATAAGCATTGGAACGACCTTTTGCCATTAACACCTTATTGACTAAGCCTTCATGTATTCAACGAACACATTAACAATATAAAAATGTGACGAATACCTACTTCCAAGATAACAGAGCGATAGGCTGAGCCCGGTCGAAACGCTGAGGACGAGCAGGGTAGTCGGAAAGAGAGGGGGGAGTCGCCGTCCGGGATGCCGGAGACGAAACGAATGAAAAAATGAATGTTGTTTGTGGAAGCGCGCGAAAAGGGTTTTGGCGCTCATTGACATGGCTTGACACGTTTGACATGTTGAGTCCACATTGGCCCTGGAGCACGCTATTTTTCTAGTCGACCAGAGGGAGGTCGGTCACGACAACGACGGCCTCCAAGTAAATCTGGTTAGAAAGTTGTTCATAGTGATAGCTGATTTCTGGTAAATGATAGTTGTAATTAGTGACAATGATAGAATACAACTGCAACAGGCTAATCATTTCATTGGCAGAAAACATTAACATTTTGTGAAGGCCGTCGTCACTTGTGGTGCATGGTCTGCACCCGACACTTTCTCGCTTTTTGAAGGGGAGGGTAGGTTGCACCTCATCATAGCCTTCTTTTGCAACTTTTAAGGCTCACAACTTTCTTACAAAGTTCACGTAGCAGTTTTAGGATCCATATTTGTAATCAGCGTCTCAAGACTCTATCGATGTGCCTAGGTCTCCTTTCAAAGTTCCATGGGAAGTTCTAAACACTCCCTGGTAAGATACACCGCCCCGCAAACAGATACTAACCATAAGGTACACCGCTCCGCATAAACACTTCCCTTCCATCTACTATTTCCCCAAAAGCTTACATATAAAAATGACTTAGGAAAAGCTCCAGAGTGGAAATATGGCGCAAGCAGGGTCAACCGTCATGTTGGACCAATTGCGAAAATTTTACGTCTTCTATGGGGCCTCGATACGACCCACTCAGGGTTAACCCTTTCACGGCCCCTTCCACCACCATCAGCTCAGGAGGCTCCACCAATAACGACCACCACCCTCCTCCACCCTCACCATCATGGCTGATTCTATATAGTATTTGATTCTGAGACCAGTCGACACAGCCCAACTCCGCCCACTTTTCCTCCAAAATTGCCGTCGAGCGGGGGGGGGGGAGTAGGGGGTATGTTTTAGCGCACAAAACCTACCAAACTACCAACCAACACCGCCAACAACCTAACCCGTTCCATTCCGTTCCATGAAAAATCCTTCCATTACTATAACACTAACGCTGCCTCCAACCTTGCGAAATACGACCCCCCTCATTTCGATCGCCCAAATACGACCCCCCTCATTTCGATGCCCAAAGTATGATCCCCCGCACCCGACCCCCTCGTTGGACTTTGTCCAACGGACGGTTCGCCCTGGGCACAAGTGAACTCAGCTATGATTGCCAACACAAAACCCCAGCTTGAGGATTTTTTCGTTCTCACCTCTTTGGAAAAACTCGCTCTGCCTAAACCCGGAAAATCATGATTCTACTACATAATTTTCTTCGGTATTTCTTTATCCAGCTGAAATTTGCTGTTATTATCATCCAGCTATTAAGACCTCAGAAAGCGAAAGCAAAACCGCTGTCATACTTCCAGAGAAGGAAAATCCCAGAGGTGTAAATTCGCGTTTGAATTTGATTGAAGTCACTCCATTACGATTGATTTTCTAAAGCATCGTGCTGAAGTTTATGCTGTTACTAGCCCTAGCCGAGGTAAACGCCGTATCTTAAAAGAATAATGCAAATTTTCGAACGTCTCAGTGGACGCAGTTCGAGCGTTTCTGAG